CAAAGCATTTGGAATTTTGGTAGGTACTGCCCAATTCCCATCCTTAAGGGATTCTCATTTTTCTAATATTTTTATTCTTCAGAGTAGAATTATTTTTAGGGCAGGGACTCTATCTTGTTCATCTTTACTTTCTTGGACCTAGCTAGAAAGTACTTACTAGATGGTGTTGAATTCATTCCTATCTGAAGACACAGTTGGAGAAGCTCTGAAGCTCAAGCCCCTTGAAAAGGGGCACCATTGTTGGTGAGATATAATCAGCTTCCCTCATTCCCTTCCAAACCAATTGTGGCAAAGACAAAGCAAATACTTAATCCAGGCTGGCGGCTCATGCCTATAATCCCAGCACTTTGGGGGGTCAAGGTGGATGGATCGCCTGAGGTCAGGAGTTTGAGACTAGCCTGGCCAACATGGAGAAACCCTGTCTCTACTAAAAAAAAAAAAAAAAACAAAAAAACAGAAAAACAAAATTAGCCTGGCATGGTGTCGCATGCTGCGTAATCTGAGCTACCTGGGAGTCTGAAGCAGGAGAATCGCTTGAACCTGGGAGACAGAGGTTGTAGTGAGCCAAAATCATGCCATTACACACCAGCCAGGGCGACAAGAGCTAAACTCCATCTCAAAAAAAAAAAAAGACTTAATCCAGAAACATCTCCCACATTTCTCCCACATCTTGAGAGCCAGTGGACACTGCTTTCATATGTCTTAGAAAAGGCCACTTACTATTAAACTTTAAGTATTCATTTACTATTTTGTCTTTTTTGAGGTAGGAAGAATACTTTTTTTTTTTTTTTTTTTTTTGAGACGGAGTCTTGCTTTGTTGCCCAGGCTGGAGTGCAATGGCGTGATCTCATCTCACTGCAACCTCCACCTCCCCAGTTCACGAGATTCTCCTGCCTCAGCCTCCTGAGTGGCTGGGATTACAGGCACATGCCACCATGCCCAGCTAATTTTTGTATTTTTAGTAGAGGCAGGGTTTCACCATATTGGTCAGACTGGTCTCAAATTCCTGACCTCGTGATCTACCTGCGTTGGCCTCCCAAAGTGCTGGGATTATAGGCGTGAGCCACCACACCTGGCCAAGGGAAGAATATTTTCAAAAGTCTTATTTGTAATTTTTAAAAATTCTGATGCAAACAGCAGTGTAATTTTTAAAAAGAATATCCTGTGCTCTTTTAAAGTTATTGTTTAGGTTCAAAGTCACTTTTAAAGACCCTAAAGGTTCTTTACAGATACAACCTTAAAGCAATACCAGTGACAATGACAATGAGAACTAATTTCCTTCTTCTGTACCTAAGAAAGACTGAGTCACAGTGGATCCAGAGACTGAATCAAGTCATAATTAGTCAGGGGCAGGCCTCGGAATACATGAGTATTTCTTACCCACTTATACACAAAAGCACATTATGAATACTAACACTTTTCAAAGCTTTGCCGGACGATCTTTATTTTCTCTCTTCTAAAATTACTCAAAACCTTATATGTTCCTTGCAAGTTGTTCTAAAACAATTTGTTGATATCAGAACACTTTCCTTTTAAAGACCAGATGACTTAAAAAGACTAAAAGCAAATTTAATCTTTGCCAAGTTAGCTTTTCTTTTATAGAAAGTGCCTGCTTCAACATATGGTATTAGAATGGCACAGTGTAACCTGTTCTTTATTCATAGTTTGCATGGTGTGTATTTTGTGCAAAAGCAAACTGAAATCCTTAAGCCCTTAACTTCTATCCCAAGAGGTGTCCTTGATTTCTTCTCAACTTTGAATCTAGGTCCAGGCGGACTGAGTCTCCCTAAGTACATTCACAGATGCAACAGTTACACTGCTGTTCACACACCATTTATTTCTCAACGTCCTATGAAACAATCAGGTAGAACACTCATTATTTTCTATTTCAAGATGGAGTAGACATCAACTCAACACAGACCTGTTCCTGTATCTTCAATTTATACTCAGGAGGCAATGGGATATTTTTGCGGAAATGGAGACACAGATATCTCTATCCATCCACCATCACTGACAGCCTGTTAGGTGGTCACAGCCATTCTGAGCCCCAGTGTCCTCAGCTAAGGGAGGACGTGAAATTCTTGCATAGATTTGTTTTCTTAGCAGTCATGATAACCCAAATATGGTTTAATGACTCATACCTGATATTTCTGGGAGTCTCTCAACAGTAGATTGGCACACAGATTCAAATGTAGTTGAGAAACGAATAGTTGAAAAAAATATATAGGATTGGGAAGAGAGAGGTAGAACTCATGAGACACAGTGACAATAAAGCAATAGGGCACAGGCTGGGTGGCTTCGGGTGGTTTATCGTCACCTGACACTGCGTGGGAAATTCTGCAGATGCCTGCTTGTGTGTGTTTTTCAAAACACAAGCTTTATTCTTGAGGTCTCTGAGAGGGGTTGAAACCTTTTCTTCTCTCCCAAACTGAAAATGAAGATAACGGATTCTGCTAACAGTCTGCGCAGAGGAAAGAATCTGTTAATCTCATGTCTTCCTCCTTCTATCTGTCCCCTTCCCTCAACAAATCTTTGGATTAAAAGGGACCTCAGCAGAAAATATAAGGAACAATTTTTAAATTTCTGATTTTTATCTTTTTACTTTCTAGAATTATTATTATTATTTTTTTTTTGAGACAGGGTCTCACTCTGTTGCCCAGGCTGGAGCACAGGGGTGCAGTCACAGCTCATTGCAGCCTCAACCTTTTGGGCTCGAGACATCCTCCTGCCACAGCCTCCCAAGTAGCTGGGACTACAGACATGTGCCACCATGCCCAGCCAATTTTAAAAATTTTTAGTAGAGACAAAGTCTTGCTATGTTGCTCAGGCTGGTCTCAAACTCCTGGCCTCAGGCAATCTTCCCACCTTGGCCTCTCAAAATACCGGGATTACAGGCATGAGCCACCACACCCAATCTGTTTTCTAGAATTTTTTCTTTTTTTGAGACAGAGTTTCACTCTGTCACCCAGGCTGGAGTGCAGTGGCATAATCTACGTTCACTGCAACCTCTGCCTCCCAGGTTCAAGCATTCTCCTGCCTTAGCCTCCCGAGCAGCTGGGAATACAGGTGCCTGCCACCACGCCCGGCTAATTTTTTCTAATTAGCCAGGCATGGTGGCAGGCACCTGTATTCTCAGCTGCTCCGGGAGTAGAGACGGGGTTTTGCAGGCATGAGCCACCTCTCCCGGCCTAGAATTCTTTAGATGGCTTTAGATATGGCTTCCCTTGATTAGCTGAATCCTTTTGTGAGCAGGCTTTTTTTTTTTTTTTTTTTTTTTTTTTTATCACAAAGATATTTTATGTATTCCTTGCATTTAAATTTGCATTCCTTAGCTCATTTAAGAGCTTGGCTGAAAGCTAAATAAAATTCATTAAAATGGCTTCTCTCAGCAACACTTAGCCCTGTGTTCTTTATTTTATGCGGATTTTCTATACATGATTAAAATTCTCCAGTCACCAAGTTCCCATTTTAATATGCTGAAATGATTTAGGATTTGGAGTTTTACTGTAATTACTCGTAGCCAACAGAATAAGTTATCTGAAAGGCCCTTGCTGTTTCCAATGCTAATGGAAGGCAGGGTTTGTCCTAACTTGGGTGGTTCTGTCTGAACTCTGGCTTTAACTGGTCAGAATCATAAACAAGTGGCCTCAGGACCCTTCAGACCTACCTGAAGAGCTGCAAAGTCACCTTTAGAAGGTTCTTCGGTTCATTTTTGCCTTTTAGTACCCTTTCTAAGAGGCTTTATTCTTAGTGCTTTCTTGCCTTTTCTAGAACAATCTGGAAGCTTTAAAGCACCTTATTATTGACCTATATGGTTTTATAAGTATGTTTCAAAATGAGTGAGTGTAGCTGTTTTTAATAATAAAAATGCTGTTATAGATGTGGAATCTTTTGTAAGGTTTTTGGGGAAAAAATGTGGTTTAGAGATACTTTCCATTTGTTGAGTACTTATTGATTATAATTGAAAATGCTTAGGCTCAGAGGCTTGGAGCCGCAGACCACCTACCTAGGTACGGCAAAAGTCAAATCCAGGACTTTGAATATAGGGCTGGCCCCACCAGTGACGTCTCTTGATTTTTTTTTAACTTCAGTGAAAAGTAAACTTCAAAATCTTAAATCAACAGATACTGAGAAATGTGATAGAATATATTCCATAGGACAAGGTTTTAAATATATATATTTTTTCCTTGTCATAGATCCCTTGGCAGTTTGGTTAAGCTGTTCTCCAAATAATGTTTAGAAATATGTAGAATGAAAATACACAGGATTACAAAGGAAACCAAATATTTTAAAATATAGTTACCAAAATGTCTTTAAAATGTATAAGAATCTGGCTGGGCGTGGTGGCTCACGCCTGTAATCCCAGCAATTTGGGAGGCCGAGGGGCAGATCACCTGAGGTCAGGAGTTTTAGAACAGCCTGGCCAACATGGTAAAACTCGGTCTCTACTAAAAATACAAAAATTAGCCAAGCCTGGTGGCAGGTGCCTGTAATCCAGCCACTCAGGAGGCTGAGGCAGGAGAACAGCTTGAACCCGGGAGGTGGAGGTTGCAGTGAGCCAAGATCACATCACTACACTTCAGCCTGGGCAGCAAGAGTGAGACTCCACCTCAATAAATAAATAATAAAGGATGAGTGTATTATCTAACTTCAAAATAGAGAAAACATATATGACATTACAAGGTATCTGCAAGACTTTAAAGGGATCTGAAAACATTGAATTTTTGTTGGTGGTAATGCTACAGATACTGCTTATTTTAACCACTGTGATTTGCTGTCTACATTCGTAATGAAGATGTTATATTTCACTTAGAGGTTAGAAATAGAGATGGAATTTTTTTTCTTCATTCAAGTTTGTAGACTCCAGAAATCTGGACAGCAGGAATAAGGATCTACTCAGAATTCTCCAACCGTAGGATTATGTTTTTCTCTCCATGCTTCTGGAGAGCTACATCATTTCCTTTCTTTTCTTTTTAAAGGGTGAGAAGAGCTACACTTACCTTCTAGGGTCTCACACTGGACTAGGTTGATGTAGTCCTGCTGGGTCAGGAGGCTCGCCTTACATCCTCGAACCAGGCCCTCCAGGTAGCCATGGTCCACATTGAAGTACAGCTCTGCACCTTCCAGCATGGGGGAAGAGCCTGCAGCCAAGGCAAGGTGAAACAGCTCTGTAGTCCTGGACGGCCCCTGAAGACTTGACGCCAGCCTGGGAAAAGTTCGAGTAATTATCAGGCAGCACAAGCGATCTATCAGGTGATAGTCAGGGTTTGTGTGACTAGTTTCCTCCGGTTTCAGTGGCTCTCAGCACAGCACACTCAGCCCTGTTTTTACAGCAACAATGAATCAGCCAGATGACCCAAGTAGACCCAGGCAAAAAACCACCATTGGGATAGAGAGATGTGAGGGTCAGGAGAGGATCCAGGCTCAATTCTCACCAGCCCACAGTTAAGACCCTTCCCAGCTTTGCTACTGGGAGGCTTCAGACTCCTGAGTGTTTTGTAAGCATTCCTAGCCCCAGTTGAGCTTTCAACTGTAATTTACACTAATCCAAAATTCTTTAAGGATTATTAATAGGAACAGAGGGTATTTTAATAAAAATAATTTAATTTAGGCCAGCATGGTGTCTCACCTGTAATCCCAGCACTTTGAGAGGCTTAGGTGGGCAGATCACCTGAGGTCGAGACCAGCCTGACCAACATGGTGAAACCCTGTCTCTACTAAAAATACAAAAATTAGCCAGGCTTTGTGGCGCATGCGTGTAATCCCAGCTACTCAGGAGTCTGAGGCACGAGAATTGATTGAATCTGGGAGGCAGAGGTTGCAGTGAGCCAAGATCGTGTCACTGCACTCCAGCCTGGGGGACAGAGTAAGAATTATATAAATAAATCAAATGTGACTAGGCAGTTTGAAGAGTTATGAGAAGCTAATTCTGCTACACAGTTCATTTTTAGGACAAATGGTCAGAAATGTCCTAAAATTGCCAAAGGCTGGTAGCTGCTTTCTAGCCAGTCTAAGGGCATAGCCCAGGAAACAATCCTGGAAGCAGATACGCAAGGCTGTAATTCTATAATAATAAGCCACTACGTCTGCAAAATTGGACTGTTTATAAGGTACTCTATTTTCTTTTTCCCACTTCAATCTCATGATTACTCTGTGATGCGGATCTGCATGGACAGTATTATTACTTAAATCACAAATAAGGAGCCAGCCTTCAGAAGCTGGGAGGCAGCTCAAAATGCACAGCTGGTGGCCGGGCGCAGTGGCTCACACTTGTAATCCTGGCACTTTGGGAGGCTGAGGAGGGCAAATCCCAGGATCAGGAGATCGAGACCAACCTGGCCAACATGGCGAAATACCGTCTCTACTAAAAATACAAAAACTAGCTGGGCGTGGTGGCACATGCCTGTAACCCCAGCTACTGGGGAGGCTGATGCAGGAGAATCACTTGAACTAGGGAGTCAGAGGTTGCAGTGAGCTGAGATTGCGCCACTGCACTCCAGCCTGGTGACAGAGGTTCCATCTCAAAAATAAAAATAAAAATAAAAATAAAAATAAAAATAAAAATAAAGCACAGCTGGCAATACAGTAAGTATTTAATAAAGATGGGACTTGTGTTGAGTTTCATGCTCTGAAAGGAGTGCTTGTTCTTCCATACGCTATATTTAGCTAAAAAATTATGTCAAATATCCTGAATGTTATTTGCATATACAGTGTTTTATATATATTGTGTCAAATACTTAATTGGAACTAAAGTGCCAGAAATTCTCCTGTCTCTATCACAGTATTTCCACACTGTTTGGGAGAAGCTACGTAAGATGGAATCAATGTAAATTCCGCTTTGATTGTTGAAAATCACAGAGAGTCAGACTTACCTTTACATAGTGCCCAGACTTTAAAAGTATTCAGTAAATACTAGAGGCTCTCATTATTATGTTATCATTCTCTACCCCACCCACTGCAATTCCACCAACCTTAAACACCCTGAATGTGTTTTTTGTTCAATCAATCACTTACTTATCACTTTTGTGGTCTAAAGGTGGTTACATATCAGCACTTTTATAAAGATAAAACTAATACGAACTTAAATAAGTTATAAACACCAAGCTTACCTTTTCCTAATTATTTTACTATGTTACTATTTTTTTTTTCATTTATTTATTTTATTGCATTTTAGGTTTTGGGGTACATGTGAAGAACATGCAAGATTGTTGCACAGGCACATACGTGGCAGTGTGATTTGCTGCCTTCCTCCCCATCACCTACATCTGGCATCTCTCTCCTTGCTTACTTGAGGTTATTATGTCTATTGTATCTGTAAGGTAGATACTCTATATAATGACGTGCTGTCATGCGTCTTTTCTCGACTCTGAGTTTAATGACATAATGATGGTAGCTTGCAGCAGACTATAGCAGGAATGAAATATTTACACCATGAAAATGGGCAAATGCTACAAGTCAGGGCTTGGTTCATTGTTTGGTTAACTGTCCAGTCTTTTTTTTTTTTTTTTTTTTTTTGAGACGGAGTTTCACTCTTGTTACCCAGGCTGAAGTGCAATGGCGCGATCTCGGCTCACTGCAACCTCCGCCTCCTGGGTTCAGGCAATTCTCCTGCCTCAGCCTCCTGAGTAGCTGGGATTACAGGCATGTGCCACCATGCCCAGCTAATTTTTTGTATTTTTAGTAGAGACGGGGTTTCACCATGTTGACCAGGATAGTCTCGATCTCTTGACCTCATGATCCACCCGCCTCGGCCTCCCAAAGTGCTGGGATTACAGGCTTGAGCCACCGCACCCCGCAACTGTCCAGTCTTAAGAAAGTGATGGAGAAAATGTTAATAAAGCAAATTCAAAGTATGTAATGTTTATAACCATTATAATGTGAACTGCAGAAAATTTAAAGAAATGTTCTTTCAGTATTTAAAAACTGTGACCTGATTCAGCAAGGAAGCCACTCACTTTATGAAAAACAAGTGAAGTTTTGACATACATCTTCATTGTTTCACTTTATATTACTCTTTAATGTAAATAAAAATAGTAGCCAACATTCGTGTTGGATATTCACTTATTTGTCAACTGCAAGTATAGGTTGGATACAGATAGAAGAATTGAACAAACAAAAATCAATTAAAAAAGGAATTTTGTTGTTGTGTGTGCAAAACAACTTTCCAATTTGCCATATTTTACATGTATATATAGAGACAAGTTTCAATGCGTCTTTAAAATGATAGTCACCCAACATTTTTTGCTATTATGAAATTGCTGGGTAAGGCAGCAAAATGCTCCCCCTTCTCTTCACATTGTCCTTCTCATTTGGCAGAAGCAAAAATGTCTCACTCCTGCAAAAGGTACTTATCATAAATGCCATCAAGAGTGGGCTTTGGTGTGTGACGGGCATGAGTTTGTGACTTCCTCTCTCTGATGGCCCCTGTTTTCATGTGTAAAGTGGAAATAATAACACCTGCCTCACAGGTTGTTGCAAACATTAAATAAGATAAAATCTTTAACATGCTTAGCACAGGTGGGCATGTGTGCTGAGTATTTGGTGAAGGAAAGCTACAGTTTTAGTTACCCGTGGTCAACAACAGTTTGAAAATATTATATAGAAAATTCCAGAGATAAACAATTCGTAAGTTTTAAATTTTGTGTCATTCTGAATAGTGTGATGAAATCTGTCTCTCGCCAGTACCCCCCCCCCGCCCCTCGCCAAACTGCAGAACGTGAATCCTCCCTTTGTCCTCCAGGCTATAGGCACCCCCTGCCTGTGAGTGACTTAGTAGCCATCTCAGTTATCAAACCAACTGTCAATGCAGTTGTTTTGTGTTCAGGTAACACTTATTTTACTTAATAATGGACCTAACATGCAAGAGTAGTGCAACTGATTTATAGATAAATTTTAAATTGCACTGGTATGCATGTACAGGAAAAAGCAGTGTTTGGCATCCATTAGGGTGGATTAGGAGGGACTATTGTACAAAAACCACTGTAATCACATTTATTTATTTATCGAGAAGGAGTCTTGCTCTGTCCCCCAGGCTGGAGTGCAGTGGTGCGATCTCGGCTTATGGCAACCTCCGCCTCCTGGGTTCAAGCAATTCTCCTGCCTCAGCCTTCTGAGTAGCTGGGATTACAGGCGCCCGCCACCACTCTTCACTAATTTTTGTATTTTTAATAGAGATAGGGTTTCACCATATTGGCCAGGCCAGTCTCGAACTCCTGGCCTCAAGTGATCTGCCCGCCCTAGCCTCCCAAAGTTCTGAGATTACAGGCATGAGCTACCACGCCCAGCCTGTTATCACTTTTAGATTGATTTTTTTTTTCTCGTTTCTTAGATGCTATTCAGTAATTAGATTGAATTTCTTAAATCCAGGAACAGTGCCCATACATTTTTCATTTTTCTTTTTTTTTTAGAGACAGGGACTCACTGCCACCCAGGCTGGAGTGCCGTGGTGCAATCATGGCTCACTGAAGTCTTGAACTCTTGGGCTCAAGCCATCTTCCCACCTCAAGCTCCTGAGCCGCTGATACTACAGGTGCACACCAACAGTCCTGGCTCATTTTTCTCTCTCCAGTGCTTAGCAGCATGCCTTGTGGGGTGGAGGGGGACAGAGAATTCAATACTAATTTTGTAAATTGACTAGAGTCAGAGTTTTAAAATGACTTAAAATTATTTTTACAGAATCTTTAATTCTCTGTTTCTCTAGGAAACATTACACTTGGTAAGTGTATCTGAAGAATGAAGGTATTTTGTGGTTTCATAGCATAATGTACATACATATATAATTGTGTATGTGTGTATATCTGTATAGGATTTATTGTGACTTTCTATCAATTTCAGGGGCTCCCAAGAGTCATTATCTTAATAGCATTATAGGATCAATTTATTCTGCAAGAAATGAAGATATTCCTTGGAGAGGCATAGTGTCTGTTATTCTGAGCATAACAACTTTCTTGATGCAGTAGGTTTTTTAAAGCACAATGAGAAAGCAAAGGAGAGGAAGGCTGCTTCCTACACACATACCTCTGATGTCTTCGATGCAGCTAAGGTGGTCCAAAGCCTTGCCAGCTCTGAAGTAGTTGTCTGGGTGGACAGTCATATCCACCCTCAAACAGCCCCTGGGAGCATCTTTAGAGGCATTATGTGGTGGTACACAGCGCTCCTCAGAGCAGATCTATGATACCATTGTTAATAGCCAATCAAAGGCCAGGTCAAAGCCCTTTCCTAGGACTATCAAACAAACAAACAAAGTTTAAAACTTTTTAGGTTGGGTA